TTCTAGCAAATGACCTGAGCAGCGATTCAAATCGATTTCAGATTCAAGCTCAATTTCAGATTTCGATTTCGAATTCTTCAATTCCCAGGGTTACCGATACCGACATGGCGAAGTGCCAAGTGCCTACGGATTAAGACAAGGCATCTTTCATAAAACCGTTTGATATTTAAAGGAAGGAATAACATAACAGCCTCTGATTCTATAAATATTGCGCTCAAAAGTTTTTTTTGGAAAAGAGAAAGAGAAACAAAAAAGGTTAAACGGATTTTTCAAACCTTAATTCCAGCCTGCAGCATGCATAGAATTCCTTGTTTTGTGTAGAGATCTCCTCGATTCAGATGTGGGTAAGAGGAATTTCACTGTCATCTTCACGTCCACTTTTTTCAACTCTTTCCGGACCTGAACAGACCGGATTTTGGAAGTGTTTGAAATAGGCATTTATTTCAAGTTTACTCTCCCTTCTCCCTTTTTCCTCGCTTTTTTTAACAATTAGTCTTTTTCTATTTTTTATAGACTTTTACCTATGAACAAAGCCCTAGAAGCCTTTTTTAGACTTAATAAAATAAAGCAAGGGCAACACAAGAACGCTGCTTTTTTCTCTCAAATGGAAATATTTCTGGTACCAGGGCCCATCAGGACGACTAAATTCTTTGTGTTTTCGGATGCGCTAGCCTGTTGCCTCCTACTGTCGAATACATCCAAATGTTAATCCAAATGCCTTAATTATATCGAGCTTTAAAAGCTTTCAAATTCCATCACAAGCCACTTCCCAGAAGCGGGAAGTAGACAAGAAACGCCTCAGAGGCTGTAATTATGCCAAGTCCGGGATTCGAGAGCCCTAGATAGGAGTACTCGACTGCGCTGCGCTCCATTCTCTCGCATACATCTCTGTCGATTTCCTAATTCCCGAAGAAACCTTGCACCACTTCAAATTCCTTGGTTTTTCTTCACGCTACTGGAACTAGGATCCTTCATCTCCTAGCAGACCACGTAACGTTCGTTGTTTGAGGTAGAAAGCGGTCAAACCTCGTCTGTGCTCACCCTATTTTAGGACCTCTGCATGACGGACCCTTCAAGCGATATATCGCGCTCGGTCTCTTTAGACAGAATTTCTGCAGCACATAAAATTCAAATATACAGGTAGCAGAATGGGAAGAAGAGGCTACGAGATAGAATTCGGAAGCAAAGGCTGTTCCAAAGGAATATTGACCATTCAAGTAGTAAGAGCTGGAGCTGATGTGTATGCTTTCCCAGAAGACCAAATAGAGCCTT